CAAATTTCCAGGGACCATGGAGCCATTCCCAAGGTAGCCTTCAAGGGTGGGTGAGCTGAAGAGCTATACGGATAATATGGATAGACCAACTTGATGAACAGCTTATGTACAGACCGAGATTCTATTGCCTAGACCGGAAGAGATCGATAGAGAGATGAAGCTGCGGCAGACGAATACCGGTAATCCGAAAATAGAGCACGAAAATGTTGAACAGATTCTGTCGCTGTACGTGGCATGCGAGTCGCGTCATGAAAAGGTTGAAACACCACCGCGGCTGTTAATCTCCACGTTGATACAAGTGCTTACTCGGATCATAACGTTGCCTGTCAGCAAGCACTTTGGCAAGTTGACAAGAGAAGTCTTCTTCCCTCGTTGAGTAGGAAATAGCATGTGCGCGTCAAGATGGGAACTTGTGAGTTGGTGAATAAGACGCGACTGAGGGTGGAATACCTACGGCTTTGAGTTGGTCAATGCTGTAGGGTAGTCGGTTGACCGAGGAAGTCCTCTGTTACCAAACGTGGGAGAATACAAATTCGATGTCCAGTGCAATTGCAGCTAACACGGCCCAATCCCAAGCACCTGGTATGGATACAGGAAGGAGCCATCTGCTTCCCACTTTCACATTCTGTCCCTCGCTCTTACCCAGATAACTGCCAAGGCTCTTCTCACAGGCCGTCAGGGTAAGGCACCTTAGAGTTAGAACTTACACTGCAATCGTGTTGGAGGCATTCCCCGCACCTTCCTAGTGCGCCAATCGTCCCAGCAATTGTTCCCTGGTCCTGGGCCCCCCTACCCCCTCCAAGTACCTTAGGTAGGTATCTTCCCCCCAAGTCTACTTACTTCTGTTGTGAGAACCTCTTCCTGGTCCCAGCCGCTAATCTGAGTCGAATCAAAACAGATGATCCAGAAAGCTTCGATGGGCGTGAGGGAAGACGCAATGCTGGCTCCCGTTCCCTCCGTCGTTGGACACCTGTTGGTCAAGGAACCGATCCAAACCAAAACATCTCCCCAGATTCCCGCTCAGACACCGTTATCCGACACGCAAGCCATCACGACGACTGGCCCTCCAACTTGGACACCGGGCTCTGTCTCACAAGTCCCATACTCCCACAGACACACTCATCTCAAGTGTGGCTCAAAGGAAGAGGCAGTACCACCACGAAGCCCCCAAGTACACCCCATGTACAGATCCTCTCATCTCTCCGCTGCTCCCCCCTAGTAGACAGCCCACAGCTCAGCGGCTGAGCAGCAGACTGCCCAATCACTACAAACATCAACACACCAGGGGAGAGTGAAGCGAATCCCACACAGAGCGCAAACTACCTACCGCCTTCGGAGCCTGATCCATTGCAGTGCAAAACTCAGCATAGCAGTCAGTCAGTACTGTACGAAAACTAACAGGGGACTTGCCATCTTACACCTATCTCGACGTGCATTTGTGCACTAGGGAAGCTGAGTGTACTCCCCAAACACCTCTCACACTCCGAGGAAGAGACGAACAACGAAGAGAAGAAAGGAAGAAAGGGCACGAGACAACGAGACAGCGGAAACAACGGCGGATCAGCAAAACAAAGTTGGCATAGACAGATCAAGGGCCGTGTGCAGTGCCCATCTCTACCCGCATAGCCCCCCGCCACATCGGGCCCCTCAACCAACAATAAGCCTCCAGGTCTACTACGTCTGTACGGATCCAATACGTTTGAGTACAGATACCTTACCTCGAGAAAGCTGTGGTCTCTTCTCCCTCCACCCTCAACTCGCCAAGCTCAGTGTGCCACTTGCACGACTATATTCGCAATCCACCACTCATCCCTCAGCTTCACTAGCCCGATTTGACCGAACGAGCCTCGTGTGCTGCTGCTACCGTTGCGACCGCTGCTGCTGCTGCTTTTGCTTGCCTTGGGAAAATCGATGCAGAAGCGAGAATAAGCTGCATCAGCCCAGCTGCACCCACTCAGAATCTAGGTACCCTGTTTAGCTGCTTCACCTTGCTAAGGTACACAAGTCGCGCGACCTTGTGGCTTGGGCTGAGGTCTTGTTTCTGCTGGTCACTGCTCTCGATTCTTCTTCTCTTCCATCCCCCCATTCCGCACTCTCTCCAACAACCGCCCGCCGGTCACATCTCCAGACTCCGGAACAGGGCGCCGCTTTCTCCAATCCCTCCGACCTGACTTTGCGCCAACTCTCATCAACGCCCATCTCGACGCTGGAACGCGCACTACTAGCAGTACTCCCCACAGCGCCCGACCCGACGAAGCCAAACCCCAGGCTACCGGCCAACTGCGATCCGTTCATGTAATGCCGCCGCTTGGCCTTGCGCTCTGCTCTTGCTGTTGCACGTCCCCGATAGCTTGGACTCAACTGTCTGGACCCCACACCCACCAGGCGGCAACGCGCACAGCGCCTAGGAAGCACGACTGCCGCCCACCGACACACATGAGAACCTCACCTCTGTCATCCGCCCAACGCCCTTACCACTTCCACGCCGACGAGAGACACATCCTGGAAACTCTGGCGACCCAGCCAGTATGGCCGCCTTCGTGAGGGTTTCTGGTCCGCCCAACAGCAGCTTCTTGGTCGGCTACCCGGGCATTTCTGCGACGCTAGTACGTGGGACCCTCTGTGATGACGTCGGGGAGGCTGATGTGGTCAAATTACCCTTTGCGCGCCGTTTGCTGACACGTTTTCTTGCTTGCAATATAGCCTCGAATCGAAGGCAAAGTCGAGATCCGTCCATCACAGGGCTATTCCATGCCCGTTTCCGTTTCGCTAGTGCGCATTTGTCTACAACGGAGAGAAACGATACACCCCGCCGCCGAGAATGTTGCAAAGAGGCACCTGGGAACCCCGAGAAGGGAAACGACGGACGTAGTCGGCAAAGAGCTGCTGCTGTTCAGATGTCAATCTGGGAAGGATGCTGAGAGCGTCATTGCGATGGATCTGCCGTTCGTCCTGTTCATCCCGTTTGGAAGAGGTGGCGAAGAAACGAACCGACGAATACCTCCGGCATCATTGCAACTCCCCAGCCGAACGGCCGAGACGTACTATGAGCTTGTTGTTACCGTGCAACAAGGACACACCCTCCAGAATAAATACTCCTTTCCTATACCACTACAGCGATACGACACCTTGTCGACCTTTGGCATGTACAACAAGCCAGAGTCGAGGCAAGTCAGCGACGCAAGCGTTGTGACACTGGGCATCTCGGTTCCCAAATGGAGCTACGGCCCGCTAGACCCGATAACGGTCTATATAAAACTAGTACCCAATCCCGACTGGATGAAGAAAGCGTTGAAGGTTACGATTCAGAAGATCACCGTCACCATCGAGGAGGAAATTACGTACAACCCGGAAGGCGACGAGCCTACGAAGAAGATCAATAAAGTAGCCAAGAATACGCAGTTGGTCAACACAAAAATGCCCGAGGCTGGATATGCAACAAATTTGGGCTTGGTGTTTCCCTCCAAGGACTTGCGCGATCCGGACGGCATCATTCGCAGAGGAAAACCGGCGTTTCCGCTCTATGAAGTTACTTCATTCACGACGAGCTCAACCTTGTACAAGATTGAATTTTACTTGACTGTCAAGGTACGTTTAACAGACTTTGCGATGACTTGCCTATGCTTACAGACTCCACTAGGCGCAGCTAGGATCGACCAGAGATTTGACCGTCAGGCAGCCGCTGGTTATTTGTCCAATGGACCAGCAAGCGTGTAAAGAGGAAATGGACGCCATCGAACAGGCCGCAAAAGACGCCTCGCATGTCGACCCCAATAACCCTATGCTCCCTGCACGGGCGATTGTTTTAGCGAACGACCGAGAGTCTCTCAAGACATTGGGACTATGTCTGGTGGGAGGGCAGAAGAAACCGCTGATTGAATGAACGAACCACCGGGATCGTACGGAGTAATTGTATGAATTGCGTGGCGGAAATCTTGGCGTCGGGCTGCGGGGTACGAGACCAGCCAGTTGAGAGGGCTAGCGATCTACCCCGTAACAGCGAGCTTATATCTGGCAGGGTCGGTTGGTTGCATACTTGCTTCCACTTGCCAGTCACAGATTTTGCAAAGCTGTGGCCCCGCGACGAGGTTCACTGAGTCGGCGCAACTGTCGGAGTTGAAGAGCCTGCATAATGGATGGGAAGAGGCCAAAAAGGAGACGAGACTGATGCGGCGGCGGCCGATCCTGCGCCATGCAAACGTTCTTGGACGGAGGGCACGAGTTTTTGGGAGGAAACGAATACCCCTCAATGGTTGGGTTTCTCGTGTCACAACCAAGGGGCCTGGCTGTCGGCGTTTACACGGCCCTGCGGTAATTCGACAGGACATGGCGTCATCACGGCACGGCAAAGGCGTTGGCAGGGTCTTCCGGCTGAAGAAACACTTTGAAAGAGCCGGTAAATTCGGGCTACTTGTGCATTTTGGCGAAGCACGTTTGGATGGATGTGAATATTATGAGACGACGAAGCTTGGACGGGGAGGCAATGTGTGTGTTGAGTTGCCAAGGAGAGAGAACCTTTTTGTTTGAAGTTGTACATATTACCTACGAATAAGAGATGTCAAGAGACGTCAAGAGACAAGCAACTCGGGAGGTTGGATGATGATTTAAAGAGCACCCCATGCACTCTGAGTGAACGTAGATTTCATCCTTGACTCCCCACAGGTGTTACTCGAATCCTCGATCGACAGGGACCAGCAGCGGCGATATCAAGTTAGGCGGAATGCGATTATGTAACGACCAAGGTAAGAAGCATTTTGAATGAATGAAATTCCCATTGAAGTAAAAGAGTCTTCTGCTTTATGCGTTGAAACACTATGGATACACGTCCGCCCCTTCCTCCCTACCTTTCCTGCATCTACGTTTCCTTGTGGCTTCCGGTCTCTAATCTAGACCATAAAATAACACACCATACACCAATCATCCCCCCCGTAGTTAAGATTTTTTTTTACTGGTTCTTTGTCTTTGGTACATGCTTGATAAAGTGGAGTCATATACGCCCTCTATCGGCCGTATCGATCAGGTTGTCTCCCGTAGCCATCCTGTGGGCGCAGTTGACCGCGCTGGAGCATCTCCTGGTGTTGTATCTCCCGAGGATCTCTGGGATCTCGGGGGTCGCGGCTCATCTCACGCATCTGCATCTCTCTAGGATCCGGAGGGTAAGGCCCCGGAGGCGGGCCACGAGAATCGTATCCTACGGGCGTGTAGCTCCGGGGTGGCATCTGGTCCCGGGGATCTCTAGGCGCGGGCGTTGATGCGTACCGCGGCGGATACGCCTGCTGACCTTGAGGTGGCATCTGCTCTGGTGCCCTTGAGACGGGTGGGTAGCGCCCTTGCATTGGGTGCTGGTGCTGAGGTGGGATCTGACCATACATGGCCGAGCCTCTCTCGTCTCGCATCGACATGTGGTGTCCCGGCGGCGGCTGTTGTTGCTGTTGAGGCGGTCCGGAAGCCCATGATTGTTGCGGCATGGCCGAGCCCGCAGGAGGTGCCTTTTGCGCCGACATATGCGGAGAGGCCCAATTCTGAGGAGGAGGTGCCTGCTGAGGCTGCTTAGCCGGCTGCGCATGTGACGCCTGTGGCCAAGAAGACTGTTGCTGTGGCGGTTGCGGCTGGCCCATGGCGTGTCCCTGGGGCGCAGGAGGCCATGCCGATTCCCTGCCTTGCGGAGGGAGCGTTTCGCGTCTGGAGGCCGACTGATGCACGGCATACTGAGGCGGTGGCGAGCCAGCGTGGGAAGCAGGTGCACCATACGCAGGGTATGCAGTCTGAGGCTGATAAGGATCTCTTGGGTCCCTGGGGTCACGCGGATCGCGAGGATCACGAGACTGGGGCTGCGGCGGATAAGGCTGCGCTACCTGAGGAGAGTTCGTCGCTGGAGGCTGGTGATACTGGTGGCGGTAGTAGTCCCGTTCGACGGCTTGCGCCGCATCGTGAGGAGATGCAATGGCTGACCTCGGGGCGCTCATGTGCTGCGATTGGGGCGAGGCGGTGTAAGTCGGCTTCAGAGGAGGCATCGCAGACGCTGAGGGAGCATTCCGGCCATAGGGATAGGCCGCCTGAGGAGGCTCCCGCTCTGGCCGTAGGGGAGTCGGCGCCGGCGCGGCAACAGGTCCTCTAGACATGCTTTGTGGTGGCGGCGTCGGGGACGGCTTGATTTGAGCCATGTCATTAACACGCTTGGGTTGAGGCGGGGGTGTAGGAGCGGCAGCAGCGGCGGCTGCTGGTGGGTCATCGTTGAGCAACGACATGATGTTGGATCTCCGGTTCTCCGAAGCTGACGAGCGAGGCGGGGGCGCGGCGGCTGCTGGCGGCGGCTGTTGCTGCTGAGGAGGAGTGCCATATGAGTCCATGTGGGCGGGCATAGGTCGTTGAGCTGCAATGGGCCTCTGGCCAGGGGGTGTTGAGACAGATGGCTGAGGATCACCCAAGAGTCGTCCACCTGGCTGAGGCATAGGCTGGCCGTAGCCTTGCGGAACTGGGGTAGCCGTTGCCCGCGGCGGCTCGGCAGGCTGTCTTGCCACAGGTGGTTCAGATCGAGGAGGCGGCACGTTCCGCACTGGTTGCTGACCATAAGAGAATGGCTCGTAATGATGCTGCGGCGGTGTCATCTCAGGCTCCTGCTTGAGGCGAGTGCGTTCGGTCGGGCGTAGGTGTTCCTTGGCTTGTGCCTCGATCTTCTGTCTTTCCATCTGTTGCCTCTCCATCTGTTGTCGCTCAGCTTGCTGGCGTTCAATCTGCTGCCTCTCGATTTGTTGTCGCTCGATCTGCTGCCTTTCGATAGCTTCTCTCTCGAGCTGTTGGCGCTCAAACTGTTGTTGCTCAATGCGCTGGCGCTCAATCTGCTGACGCTCGATCTGCTGCCTCTCAATCTGTTGACGCTCCATTTGTTGCCTCTCGATTTGTTGTCTCTCAATTTGCTGCCTTTCCAGTTGCTGCCGCTCGACCTGCTGTTGCTCTATGCGCTGGCGCTCAAGCTGTTGTCTCTCCAACTGCTGTCTCTCAATTTGTTGCTGCTGCTCAATGGCTTGTCTCTCCATCTCGCGTCGCCTCTCGGCCTGCTGTCGGTCGACCAACGGGTCAGGCTGCACAGACTGCACAGGTTGTGCGGCAGCCAAAGGCCGCTGCTGAGTGGGCTCGGTAACTGGGGCTGCAGGAGGCTTTTGTGAGATCCTGACCGGTTGAGGGGGTTGGGTCGACTCTCGTTCCCTCTCCTGGAAGCCAAAGACCTGCTGAGGAGGTGCTCGGGGTGGACGAGCAACAGGCGACCCTGATTGTGATACTGGCTGGGCGGCTGGTTGTTGCTGAGCAGGCACTGGCGCCTGTTGAGGAGCTTGGGGAGGGGCCTGGGTGGCAACCACGGCAGGGGGGGGAGCTTGAGCAAGGGGCTGCGGCGGTTGCGGTTGCGGTTGCGGTTGCTGCTGCTGCTGCTGCTGTTGCGCTGCCGGCGTCGGTGGTGCCGGGGTGATCGGCATCGCAAAGCGACCAAAGGGTGGTGCTCCAGGTTGTTGGACGGGGGGCTCGACCTTTGTCACAGGAGGTTCGCTCGGCGGTTCGGATGCAGTCGTCGGGGCGGGAGTGGCAGGCGCGGAAGCAAGGGGCCGATGTGACGAAGCCCCAGGCGTGGAATCGTATTTCTTGCGTCCACCGACAGTGGGCGGTGGTGGATCCGGTAGCTTCTCACCTCTGCTTCGTTTCGCGTCAGCCTCGGCAGCGAATTGCTCCCACTCAGTCTTGCCCTGGTCTCTCTGTCTGACGAAGTAGTTCTTGACCATGACAGCTGTCTTCGAACCCATATGGCCCGCAATTGCTACCCAGTCAGTACCAAACGACTTGAGTAGCCCAGGGAAATCATTTGCTTCAGACACACTCCAGTAGCTAGACGCCTGACTGGGGGCACGACGCTCGGGTTGTGGCTGAGCAATATCGAAAGTCGCGACGGTCGGTTGCGCGGGAGGTGGTGGTGGCTCGGGCCGTAGTGATGGAGGCGCCATGACTTCGGATATCGGTGAAGGGGTGATGGGAACAGGGCGCTCCTGGACAACCAGGGCGGGTTGTTGTTGTTGTTGTTGTTGTTGTTGTTGCTGACTTGGAATCAGAGGAGGCTGAACGCCGGTAACCGGAACCTCGAATTGCGAGGGCAGACGATTCTCCATAGGCACAGGCGGAGGCGGCTGGAACTCAGTGTTCTGAACTCTAGAGTTCGAGCGAGACCTTCCTTTGCCTGTAGCGGGTGTGGGTGCTGCTGCAAGAGTCTGCTGTGATTTGGGCGCCTTCGGTTCCTTATCCTTGGCTGCCCTCCGTCCACGCTTCCTACCGTCGACCTTTTCGGGATCAGCCTTGGCACCCCGACGGCCAGGCGTGCCGGCTGGCGTGGCATTGTCGGAATCCGTAGGCGGTTGCTCGAAGCCCCATGTCGGAGCCGCAGCACGACGTGGACGTCTCCGTTCTCCGTTTTCGCCGTTCTCTTGGTTCTCCTCTCCCTCGTTTTCGGCGTTGCCCAGCTCCGAGACAAGCGCGCTTGAGCGGGTCTTACCTCTGCCCTTCTTTCTACGCTTGGGTTGCTTTCTAAGCTTCTCCTTGAGGTTGAGATCCTTCTTCATCAGATAGTAGTACTGAATACATGTACCAAAGTTGCGCTTAGGTACGTTCTCAGCGACGACACCCCATTGCTTCGGGTTTGTGAGATATCTCTTCTCGAAAAGGTCTGCTTCTTCGGGGGTGAAGTTGTTGATTGGCGGCATGATCTGCCAGGCAGGCACAAGCTTCTCCACAGGCGTGAAGCCGGTGGTGTCCTTGAAAAATTCGTTGTCCCGATCCTCCTGCCTCCAGTACATCTCGGGAATGACGGCTTCTTTCTCACTGCGATACTTCTCTTGCATGGCGCGTTGTTCCCTCTCTTTCCGTTCTTCGTCTTCCCTCATGGATGCTTGCAAAACTCTCTCTAGGTCTCGTTCGCTCGCATACCTTCTGCCAGCTCCCCTACCTTCTGGTTTTAGTTCCGGGGGAGGGGGGATAGGAATATGTTTCTCGGGTGTCGGCAAACAGCTGATAAAAGTTTCTCGGCTTTTGACCGCGATCGGGTCGCTCGAGACTGTAAAATCGAGGTACTTGATGTAGTTCTCGGCGTAGTCCTTGCGAGCCTCCCCTTGTTCGGCCATCTTCTCCAGAGAGATCTTGTCAAGCTGCTGCAGAATGAAGTCGTCGACCATTGAATCCGACTCGAGAGACTGTAAGAAATCCCGATCCCGGCTCCAAGGGCGGCAGCTGTAGTCGGGTAAACTGTCGAGAGGGGGCGTCGTGGAGAACTGTCGGATCTTATCGATGAGCATCACGTCGGGGTCCTCAGATTCCGTGGAGTTGTCGTCGTCATCATCCATCTGAGAGGGCGTGCTGGGCAGGCCCTTGTCGCCTTCAATCGTTTCCATCGGCACACTCGACGGCTGGAGCAGCAGGTGTTGGCCGTTCATGACCGGCTCCCTGGGTTCTTCGCGTTCGACCACCGGCTCCAATGGTGCTTTCTCGGGCTCAAACGCGTCTTCCATGGCAACATCCACATCCTTTGCTGGCTCGGATGACTGAGGGAGAGAGGGTGCCAATAGAACCGAGGCAGGCTCGTCGATATCCATTTCCTCTGTCTTGGGCTGCGGCTCATCCGAGGCGGGGGCCATGGGCGCTTCTTGAGCCATTTCGACAACAGGTTCAGCCAGTTTTGCGGCAGGCTTCTCAGATTTGTCCTCAGCGGAACCGTCTGTGGCTTTCTCGGCATCGTTGACAACTTTCTCAGCGACTGGCTCCAGGGGCTTATCGGCGGGCTTATCGGCGGGCTTTTCAGCGGGCTTCTCAACGACTGGTTCTGGATCTGGCTCCTTCTCGGGTTCTTGCTCAGTCACTTTAGGCGCTGTCACCGCCGCTTCTTTCGCCGCTTCCTTCTCAGGTTCCTTGTCTGTCTCCTTTTCGATGAGAGGCTCTTCGGGCTTCTTCTCAACCTCGGGCTCCTCCGACTTCGGCGCGAATACAGCAACTGAGACTGGCTCGGGTACCACAGTAGGCTCCTTTGGTGATGATTTGGCTTGCGGAACAGGGCTCAAGATCTTAGGCGTCTTTTCGCGCTGCTCCACAACCGGTGACTGAATCGGGGTAGCTTCTTTCGGAGGTTCGATAACGTCGGGGATCGGCCCAAGCATGTCCACAAGACCCTCTGGCTCAGTGACAAGCGCTACTAATGCTTCGTGCGAGACCGCGGCGTAGCGAGCAACAATTTTGTCCGGAGTACTGTCGGCCGCGTCCTGTAATTTCTGCAACTCGGCCTCTTCCTTTGCGATTTCCATGGCGAAATATTCTCCGTAATCTTCGTCATCGTCGGATTCGGAAGTCTGTTCGGAGACTGGCGCCGAGGGTTCCTGGGGCGGGAGAAGAAATCGAACTCGCGGCACAGACATACGGCTCACCTTTGTAGGCTTTGTAGGCTTTGTAGGCTTGGGCGGTTCCTTCGTCTCTTCCTCGTCCTCGTCCACTAAGCCCTCATCGCTGTCGTCTTTGTCGGCTGTGTCAAACTTCTCTTCTCGCCGTGGAGGGTTCCGACGCTCCTGGTACCCATGATTATCGGTTCCTCCCATGACAGTGTCCCTTGCATCATCTGGATGATCCATATCTCGATCCATGGAGCCTCTGGCAGAATAGCTGTCTCTTTCGGATTTGATGACAATTTCGCCAGGTTCTGGAAGGTTAAGTGACTTGACCGAGCCTTCGTTGGCGGAATTGTGAGAGTCGGCCTTCGCATCACTACTGCGTGGACGCCGGTCGTTGTCGCCTTGTTCTGCCGGTACGCTTTCATGACGGAAGGGTACCGGGCGTTGTTGTTGCGCAAAACTCTGCGACCTCATAATCTTGGGCGACTCGGGGGGGCCTTTCTTCCCCAGTGCTGGATTTATCCACTGCTTACTCGACGGCCGTTGCTGTTTCTGTTGCTGGGCACGAGGACCAGAGGGGATAGGCGGGCTGCCCTCTACCAGGTTCATTTTTGCTGGACCGGTAGGGGGGGCCGGGAAATCTCCGCCGCTACCTCCGCCACCGTGTCCGGCAGAGACGGGTCGTTCGGAGTTGAAGGCTCTTGGGGCTGTGGGTGGAAGTTTGCCGGTGCCGCCAATGACGGGTGATCCGTCGGCCGGGCCGTTTCGACTGGGAACAGTGCCGAAAGCTGGCGCTGAAGGGGCGAGCGGAGGTGGAGAGACGTCTTTGGTGTTTGGCGATTGTGCTTGGGAAGACATGCCTCTGTCTCGTTCTCGATCGACCTTTGGTCTCAGCAACTCGCGGTCTCGGGGATCACGAGGTTCGTCTCGAGGGTCTCTGCGAACTTCAGGATCAACCCACCGGTCGCCACGGTCGCGGTCGTCTCTATCGCGGCCCCATCGCCCTTCCTGAGAGCGACTGCGAGGTCCGAAGCGATCGCGGTCGTCGTAGAAACCAGCCCTTCCTCCCCTGCCTCTCTCCCATCCTCCGCGTCCTCGATCTCTACCTCCTCTAAAACCACCTCGACCCATGCCGAAAGGGGGGTCAGAGTTGGACGAGCCAGCGGAAGGTGGCCCGCCGTCCCGTGAGCCGCGCCTAGATCGTTCGGCATCGACGCCTAATGGAGGATCTCTGTCGCGGAAATCTCGCTGTGGTGGTGAGCGCCCTCTACCAGGCGAGCGTGGGCGTCCTCGATAGCTCTCTCTATCCCGTCGATCCCAGTCCCGTTCGCGTTCGCGGCTTCTCTCGTCCCGATAGGGCCCATCGCGTCGGTCTCTAAAATCTATATCGCGGTCCCGTCCGCGATCTCTGCTGTCATCGCGAACCCATCCGCGGCCACGGCCACCTCTGCCACGTCCTCTAAAATCACCGGCATAGCCGCCGCCTCTGGGGCCACTGGGAGGATCTAAAAGCGCCTTAGGCCCTCGTGGCGGGTCACGGGGTAGGTTGTCGCGAAAGGAATCTCTGTTGTTGGTAAATGCTGAAGTGTTGGAGCGCGCCTCGGCGGATGATCGGCGGCGGTCGCCATCACTGTACTGGGATGCGCGTTCGTACCGATCGGGTGAGCGGTCGCGAGGCGATCTGGAACGACGGTCGCCGCGATCTCCCCCGTCATACCTCGAGGAATATCTCGAAGCCCTGTAGAGATCGTGGTTAGCATGAAGGGGTCGCTCGAGAGGCCGCCTCGCATCCGCAGGACGCCTGTTGTGGTCAAAGGGCGGCCGCATCTGGTGGATAGGATGGTCTAGGTGTTTGACTCGATTTGCGTCGAGCGCGATGCCTTGTCTGGGTCGGGCATGCAGGATGTGGGAATTTTGATGGAAGACTTGAAGAAGTCGGAGATTTAGGTTTGTTGCATCGTCTACTCACATCGCACTAGGCTGGGCGACAGCCCTTAAAGTTGCCTATGATAAAGGTCCAATACCATATGTGTCTGGATTGGGACGTGGAACCAGAGAACCTTGGTTGTCGTGGGTCGATGGAAGACTTTTGGTCCTTGGAGTGGTCGGGTCCCAACCTCGGATAAGCGTCAGGACGGGCGCTGGTAAGGAGGTGAGAGAGGTAGCGTAGCGGGCACGGCGGGGAGTGGGTGCATCCGACAGCGGGTCGTTATTGTGAGTGTTTGCGTATGGTTTTGCACTGGGTATTGATGTACGGGTGGATGACGGCACGTTAATTGTGTGTGGACGGTGTCCCGTTGGCAGCTATGCTCGTGAGCGGACGTTGGTGTGTCGTCGTGATGAAGCGTGGAGATGCGACACTTGGGCACTTTGGCGAGCAATCGTGTGATGTTGAAGGATTGAAGACGGGACCCCAGCGGGCAGTAGGTACGGTACTGGACGGCCACGGCCACACGGCCACGTTCGGGGCAGCCTGCGAAATACGGTTCGCGTGCAGTGGCGCTTAGTTCCAGGTTTGGCACTGGGCTGAATTGGATCTCAAATTCGCTGGGGGCAGCGCCAGCCTTTTACCGCCGACACGCGCTAGACTCTTTCAGGTTTCTAGCGGGACCCACGGCAGTTCGAGCCTCGAGGATGTTGTTGTCTTTGGCCCTGCCTTCCATGCAGTATGAAGTACATAGTGGCCTGCTAACTTGAGGTGCCTTCCTTGTGCTTGTCTTCCTGCCTGCTGCTAGGTTGTCTCCGAAATCTCAATTTCCCGGTCATGTTCCAAGAGATGCGGTACGTACCCTTCAATGTTTGTCATGGAACCTCAACTTCTCAAGTACCTTGGTACCTTACCTATGGAAACCTCTCCCGTCCCGTCCACGGCCCAACTGAAAGTATCCAGACTCCACAGACAAAACTTCGAGAGTCCACTGAGGTAGTCACCAAATCCACATCATCTCGAGGTAAGGTACTTTGAAGTTTGTACCACGTCCACTGACGAGCCTCCCGTCTTTTGTGTAATCCAGAGCCATCAAGTCTTCTTCCACATTTCTGTCCAGGCACGCATTCAACGGACACCCAACCAGCATCACTTCCCACACACCAAAAGTAATCGACCACACACACTCCGTCGCCGTGTCGTTTTACCATTAGACGACCCGACCTGCACGGGTGGGCACTCGCAATTCGAGGTGGGTCCCTGTGCGCGCGCCGTGGCAGACCCTGCCGCCTGGTACTCCACCTTTCCGTCAAAATTCTTTGCAGAGTGGAGTCCGTCTTTTCTGAACATCACGGCCGTGGAGTCATCCCATGCCCGCCTGGATGGAGCCATTGTGAAGTTTGTACCTCTGTGTGTGTGGATGGTCACTTTTTTTGCACACCAGCTCCAATATCCCGTCAAATTTCCTCGTTCCCGGACTGCTAAGAACGAAAAGAGTACGGATAAATACACCTTATTTTTGGGTTGAAACAATCACAGGGTTCTTGTCTGATAGCCATACACAATTCTCCGCGATTCGTGTTCCCACTATTCGCTATAGATCGCCACTCCCCTCACTGGTATGTACCTTTGTTCGGTGGGCTTGAGACAATCTCACTTTTGAGATCTCTCACATTTGCAACTCAACTGCAGCCTGTTTTCGGTGTGCCTCCCTCATTCGTTCATTCACAGAAAATACATGATGGCATCTCAAGAGAACCCCAACGCCCCGCCGGCGGCAGCAACCGATGCGGTTCTTGTCGTCTCGGAAGAAATGCCCGAGGGCGCACAGAAGGTCGAGGAGTTGGACTTTGATGATATCAAGGGGCCAATCACCGCCGAGAGTCTCTACAATGGCATGAGATTCATGGGCTTCCAAGCCTCGTCTCTGACCGAGTCCATCCGGATCATCAATGACATGGTGAGCCGCCACATCTCCTGCTCCCACGTGTGAGACGACATCCTGCTGACAGGCGGGTCGCAACTTCAAGAGGGCATGGAGAGACCCAGAAACTGGAGACAAGACCACCATCTTCCTGGGCTACACCTCCAACATGATCTCATCCGGCATGCGAGGCGTCTTCCGGTGGCTAGTCAAGCACAAGCACGTCTCCGCCATCGTCACCACCGCCGGCGGCATTGAGGAGGACTTTATCAAATGCCTGGGCGACACCTACATGTCGTCCTTTAGCGCCGACGGCGAAGGCCTGCGCAAGAAGGGTCAGAACAGAATCGGCAACCTCGTCGTCCCAAACTCGAATTACCGCGCCTTCGAGGACTGGGTCGTGCCCATCTTTGACAAGATGTACGAGGAGCAGGAGGCCAGCAAGGGCACCGACGACGAGATCAACTGGACGCCATCCAAGATGATCCACCGCCTCGGCAAGGAGATCAACGACGAGCGCTCCGTCTACTACTGGGCCTGGAAGAACGGCATTCCCGTCTTCTGCCCCGCGCTCACGGACGGGAGCTTGGGCGATATGCTGTACTTCCACACCTTTAAGACCTCGCCTGGCCAGCTCAAGTGCGATATTGTTGAGGATATCCGGAAGATCAACACCATCTCGGTGCGCGCAAAGAGGGCGGGTATGATTATTTTGGGTGGCGGCGTTATCAAGCATCACATTGCAAACGCTTGCCTGATGCGCAACGGCGCCGAGTCGGCCGTGTACATCAACACTGGCCAAGAGTTTGATGGAAGCGATGCGGGCGCCAGGCCGGATGAGGCCGTTTCCTGGGGAAAGATTAAGATTGGGGCCGATGCCGTCAAGGTATGTCACCCAAAGCACTTGTTAGGGAGAAGGTTGTGTGTTTCATTGCTAACAATTGTAATGCGTGTAGGTCTATGCGGACGCCACTCTGGTATTCCCATTCATTGTTGCAAATACTTTTGCCAAAGACAAATCATCATAGACTTTACAAGTGGGAAAAGAAAAGAAACAAAAATTCCATCGCACACATAAGAGCCGCCACATGTTGTTCCTGGGGCTGGTATTCTTACAATACTGACTCCCACTCAGGTGACTTTGATATAACATGCCCCTGACTTTCAGTCTCCTCGCAATCTGATCCACAGAACTCAGCATCAGGACCAGGGCAGCAGCACGGGGCATCAAGCTCGTCCGGGGCTGGTGAGGCGCCGCATTCCCGGCAGGCCAAGGACTTCGAATGCCGTGGGCACTGAGGGCAGATACAGCAGGGCTTTCCGTTGCTAGATTGATGGTTAACATCCTTCTGTGTATAGTGTACCTTGCAAGAGAGCGAGACTTACTCTTCCTTTACCTCCTCAAGACCCGACGTATCGTCTTCAGGGGCGCTCTCGGTCGCCTGCGAGTCGTGCGAATCCTCATCAGCCACGCCACTATGATAATCGCCGCTCTGACTCTGACTTGTCGGCGGCGGCGACGAGACAAGACCGCTGGTCCCCGAACTCGACGGCTCGGAGGTAAACACCGTGGCTGCCGCGCTGCTACTATTAGGTGGCGTATGGCTTCCTTCTTCCCTGCAGTTGCTCTCGGGAAAGTATCGAAGGTCTTGCTGTGATTGTATCCTTCGATATATGTACTCGGGGTTTGCGAGGGAGATTTCAGACATGTGAGCAAGTGTGTCTGCGCAGTCTAATGACTCTGCCCGCCGCATGTTTGAACGTGTCTGGTAAGGCATTTTTCTGTGTGATATGTTGCCTGAAGTTGATTATAGGATAAAGCCTCAATAAAGTGGAAGTGCTCCTACTTCTGACTTTTGTATACAGAGGCGAATACCAGGGGTCTGCCAAATGGTGGAGAGGGAAGAAGTCGGCTTTTTCTCATAGTGTGATAGTGTATCGGAGACGAAGTGCAAATTCGACTCTCTACGAGCCCTGGCAGCCGGTATACAACTCAGACCATCGGCGATAGCTTCCCTGATTTAGGTTCTGTTGTAGCAAGGGCGGGATAAAGCCTATGGACCTTGCTAGGTAGGCGAATCCTTCGGGAAGCTCTACATCGTGCCATGTGTTTTTGACATAACATGGACGTGGTCGACATGTGAAAACCAGGCGAAATATTTGATGCAAAAGCTCTCCATTGACACTCTCTCATCTTGTTCGGTGCATTCTTGTAAATTTTCACAGGTCACAGATCAAAACTATCACCAAAGTGGGAGAAAAAAAAGGTCATCAATAGGG